GGTTCTGGTTTAAGAAATTCTGTGTAATGAGGTTTATTGATGACTACTGGTTCTGGTTTATTAAATACCGGTTCTGGTTTAAGAAGCTTTGGTTTATGGAATTCTGGCATTTCTTTGAAGTAATGAGGTTCTTGGTTAAATTCCGAAAATGGTTTCGAGTTGTCTGATTTAATAGATATAGGGAACAATACACAAGCCACGATGTCCTTATTTTCTCCCACTAGTTGCCATTTCACCACTACTTGTAACTAGAAAAAAAGAATACGAAATGATTTCGGTTTTAGATGATTGCCCAATCGATTATCCAAGAATATTAACCATTCAAATTTATCGTTTCCCAGTAGGGTAGCTATTAGAAACAGATTGTGCTAATCCAAACAGGATAATATCAATTAAAAGGATTTTAAAAGGTTTTCTTTCTTTTATGTGTATCGGGGACACTGATTGCATCAATTTGCGATTAAAGTTCCACTAAAAACTGAGTGAAGTTAATATTTAACAAGCTGTTTGAAATATCAACAAAGGGGGGTTGCATAGTTTTAGTGGAATTGCAGGAGCCGCAGATGTCTGATTAAAAATTGGTGCAAATCAATGCTATCAGTGTCCCCCATACACATACAATTTTTGGAAAGTTCATAATCCACTTAAAAGCCATGATAATATCCAAATAGATGACATCTTATGATGTTTTCTGTGGTTAAACTGGATTGTGGTTCATTGTTTGTCAACATGACACTTTGGGTGGTCCTACAGATTCGTTTTCTCCGGGATCTCTCAGCCTCGAGAGTCCCCTTCCAAGCTTTCATGAAATTGACCCCTGACCTTGACATGAAATATTTACTTACTGTGGGGTATTGTTTTAATACAGGTAAGGTGCTGTTATAGGAGTAACTAGTATCACTGTTAACAGGGCAGGTCACCCCACAATCTGAACAGGCGTCAGGGTTTGGCATGGGAAATGATATAGGTACTCCCCCTAATATTCCATATACTTCAGTCTTCAGAATTGTACTGGTTATTCCTTGAAAGATGAGAATATACACCGTTTACAACAATTTATATATAACACAACGTTTCGACAGTACTACATTTGGATTGTAGCCTACGCTAGCGAATTCGGCAAATTCTAGCCTTAAGGTCGTGGACATTTATTGGCTGTATTTGCTAGCGTCTAATCAAATCAAATCGTTGATACAAAATCAGAGGTGAATGATGTCCAGGTATTAGACGCAGTTTGTAAT